TAATTATCGATCTTGAACGAGGAATGCCTAGTAAGCGCGAGTCATCAGCTCGCGCTGATTACGTCCCTGCCCTTTGTACACACCGCCCGTCGCTCTTACCGATTGAATGGTCCGGTGAAGTGTCTGGATTGCGGTGATCTCGGCGGTTTGCCGCTGGGGGTGCTGTGAGAAGTTCATTGAACCTTATCATTTAGAGGAWGGAGAAGTCGTAACAAGGTTTCCGTAGGTGAACTTGTGGAAGGATCATTGACACGTGAATGGCCGATCTTTGGGGTGTGGGATGCTGGCTTGCTCGCCCTTTCGCCGCCCTTTGCCCACATCCTCCGTGCATCCGCTTTTCTCTTCCGTTTCAGCACCAYCTTGGGCTTAGTGCCCAGCTGGTGGGTGGCCCGGCGCAGAGGGGCGCGTGGTGTAGGTCGAGGGCGGGGGGAGTGGGCAGGGTCCGGGGCCTTGTGGTGTTGCTCCCCCTTCATCCCGTCTCGCCTCCGCAGGTTGTTACCTCGGCCCAGCCCCACTCTCGACTTCTGGTCGGGATGGCGGTTGGTTCGGGCACGGACAGCCCTGCAGGAGGGTCAGGGGTGGGATGTCAGGTGGTGGCGGCTGTCCTCGGCCTGCGTACCCCCGCTCCTTCCCATCTCAGCTTTGTCCAGACCTCCTTTCCATCCCGACCTCAACCTCAGCTTCGTGCGGAGCTTGTGGCTTGTTTGGGGATCGAGGGTCGTGGTAGAGGCTAGGGGCGGGGTGTCTAGCAGGGTCCTCGGCCCCTCCCCGTTTCGTTCTGCCTTCCTTCCCAACGGGGTTCTCCTTGCCGGACAGATCGTCGTCCTCGACACAGTCGAGGTGGTCTGAATCTTGAGGTGGAGGGCCGTTGGGGGAGGGTTGAACGGGGTGGTGTCGGGTGGGGGGGGGGAGGAGAGAGCGCTTGCACCCTCGTTGCCCCGCTGCTCCCCGCTACCCTGCCTGGCCCCCGAACGGGGGGTCGGGCGGGCCCGTGGCAGCGGCTGGTGGCGACGGCTTTGCAACTTCTTATTTGATGTACCTGCTCTGATTTGTCGTTGTCCGGGTTGACGGCCCCCTTCTGTTCAGGTCGAGGGGTCGGTCTTGTCGGAACGGCACCATATTGTAGAACTCTCGGCAAACGAATATCTTGGCCCTCGCAACGATGAAGAGCACAACGAAATGCGATACTGAATGTGAATTGCAGAAATCCGTGAGCCATCGATACCTTGAACGCAYGTGGCGCCCAAGGCTTCTGCCGAGGGCACGCCCGCCTGAGCATCATTGGATTCCTCACGACCTCAGCACCTTCCGTTTCGGAGAGTGGTGGAGTTTGTGGTCGTGGCTTCCCTCGCTTCCCAATTGGAGAGCGTCGATAGCCTAAAGTGGAAGGGAATTGGAGAGCATTCCGAGCGGGCCTGTGGGGGCCGCAGCCCAGAGTGGTGCGTTTCGCTCCGCCCTGTTGTTGCCCTCCAGCACACGTTTGTGGGTGGTGGTCTTCGTTTCCCTGAAAACGGCACCTAAGGTCGTCCCTTCGGTTTGTGCGGTCGCCGCCTTCCATTCGCTCCCATCAGCTTGAGGTGGGCTTGCGGTTGGGGGTGTCGGCCTCGAGCTGTGGAGGTACGTCGGGCCTTGCCTTTTGATCTCAGGTCGGGCGGGAGCACCCGCCCAATTTAAGCATATAACTAAGCGGAGGAAGAGAAACCAACGAGGATTCCCTTGGTAGCGGCGAGCGAACCGGGAATAGCCCAGACTGAAAATCCGGGGGCTCTGTTGCTCCCTGAATTGTAGTCTTGAGAGGCAACCTCTACAGCCGGCCGTGTGCAGGTTCCCTGGAAGGGGACGCCGAAGAGGGTGACAGCCCCGTCGACCGCCGGACCCTGCTGCGCAACGAGGTGTTGTCCAAGAGTCGGGTTGCTTGGGAATGCAGCCCCAATTGTGTGGTAAGTCCCATCCAAGGCTAAATATGTGYGAGGGACCGATAGCGAAGAAGTACCGCGAGGGAAGGATGAAAAAAACTTTGAAAAGAGAGTTAAAGAGTGCTTGAAATTGYCGAGCGAGAAGCGGATGGAGGGGAAGTCGTGCGCTCCCGTCTGGGCAGGGGTGGACGGCGACTGTGTTGTCGCCCCCCTTGTTGGACGTGGCGTGCCTGCCAGCATGGGCTGCTGTGACCGGCATTGCGGTGGGGAGCGATTGAAACCCCCCACGGGTGGCCGCCACGGCAGTCGACGACCTTGAGCACGCGCCTCTTTCGGCGGGCCCGTTCGGGTTCCTGCGTGTTCGGGATGCTGGCGAAATTCCTCTATCCTGCCCGTCTTGAAACAC